AATGCTGCACATGCACATTAGACCTCCTCATAGGAAAGTGTTACAGACTGACATTTGTAACTGTTATTTTATTTGACAAATTGCCCTGCTTCCCTGTGTTCTGGAGAAGCCTAATTGCCAGCCTTCTGCCCCATGACTATGGACCTAGTGGGTATGGCGATTTGACTGTATTTGTGGGATCTGAGCGCTGTTTGGATATATTGAGCGCTCAGATCCAAGCCATCTGGGGATAGGTTGAATGTGGGGGTTCTGTTCAGTATGATAGGAGTTAGGTATTTATGTGTCTTTTGCTAACATGTGGTTAATGGAGTCTGCTTCTATCCCTGGATATAAGTGGATTATTTTCCCCATTGTCTCCTGGATAGAGGGCTCTGTAAAACCGGTTTGGGCCAGATATCCATGCTGCCAGCCAGGACCCAAAAGATACTTTTGCTAACTTTTGAACCCCTTGTCTGATTTGTGCCATTTTTTAATATGTTGCTCCCCTGAATGGATAGATTCTAAATTTTTATGAAGATTGGATGTGTAGTTTTAAAGTTATAGTACATGTATAAAAACTGTATTTTTACTGCCTGTGTTTAATTATGTTAACCCATTGTGCGCCATAATTAGATCACAGGCAGAGGGGAGGATTTTTGTGTGTAATTGCTGGGAGTGTTTCTGTAATGTACCTTTATTATTGGTTATTCTGTAAACCCCTGTGGGTGGTCCTATCTCAGGGAAACCTGCATAAAAGAAGGCCCTTTGGTGCCAAGTAAACAGATCTTCTTGACCCTCAATACGTAGCCTTGTCTCGTTATTGGAGGGAACTGCTATATCACACTGGGGATTGCTATGCTCTGCATACTCCCCTGAGCTTTTAATCACTTAGCTCTTTTAAGAGTTGTTCCTATTACGCTCTCCTGGAGGAGAGGTTTTCCCCACACGGTCCTGGAGGACAGAAGCTGATCCAGGGTGGAAGGAAGACGGCGAGACTCCAGTTAAGCTACGGCGGTTGTGGAGACTGCGGTGGTTGTGGTGTCTGCTGCAGTGTTTGGAGTCCTCAGGAAGCGCTAGGAGCATCCATCAACGGAGGGTACTCGGTCGGAGTACAGGGAGCTCCGTTACAGAAAGCATTGAAAAATGCTTTCCTATGGGGGTTTCAGCGATGCCACTAGAGGAGGAGTTAACGCTGCAAGGTAAATATTGCAGTTTATGAAAACTGCAATATTTATTTACAGTTGCAGGGTTAAGGGTAGTGGGAGTTGGCACCCAGACCACTCCAGTGGGCAGAAGTGGTCTGGGTGCCTGGAGTGTCCCTTTAATTACTCATCCTTATAGCAGAGCTGTGCTCTGCCTCCTTGGCTGCGATCTTCATAATTGACAAGATCAGCAAATCCAATGCTTTCCCATAGGAAAGCATTGAGAGGCTGTCATGTTGCAAAACGCCGCTGTTCTATCAGATATCTATATCTATCAGATTTCTATATTGACGTCACTTCCGGTGCCCCCATGTCACCAGAAGTAACGCGAGATCAGCTGCGCGCTAGCAGGCCTCGAGGTATAGCATTCTGCTGGAGGCACCGCGAGCATGTGTGCCGCCTCTGATGACGCTCGATCAGCTGGGCCTTTAATCTGAAGGGTGTACCGCGCATGCGCTCGGCACATCCTTCAGCTATAGCAATCGGATGGGTGTACTGTGCATGCGTGCAGCACATCCATCAGATATTGCAATCTGATCTACAAATCTGACGGATTTCTGTACCACAGCTTTCACTGTGTAGTAGCATACACAGTGTAGGCGAATGTGGTGTTAAATAAGGGAGATGCACGGTTAAGGGGGGTGACACACAGGGATAGGGGGTTAATAGGGGTGATACACATGGGATGGGGGATATGGAGGAGTGACCAAAAGTTGCCTAACAACCCAGAAGTCCCTCTAGTGGCCGTCTGGTAGCCAGCCACTAGAGGTGGAGTTAACACATAAAGATAATTATTGCAGTTGCACTTGCAATAGTTACCTTTACACGGTTAAGGGACCTGGGACACTGAACCCAGACCACTTCAATGCGCTTAATTGGTCTGGGTGCCTATAGTATCCCTTTAAACATGTCAGTAAACATATATATAGAAACATATTAAAGTAATTAATCAATTACACATGTCATTGCAGTTACTACGACATCAGGCGGATGGTGAAGAGGAAGGTGAAGGCAGCAGCCGCCTCCAGGAAGACAGGAGGCGGTTCACAAGAACCGGACCTGCTGCCCTATGAAGAGGAGCTCCTGCAATTCCTGGGAAGAGACAACCTCCTTGGGATTGAGGGGACACCTGGTACGATGTTAAAGGACCACTATAGTGCCAGGAAAACAAACTCGTTTTCCTGGCACTGTAGGGTAATTAGGTCCCACCCCACCCTCGTGGCCCCCTTCCCACTTCAGCCACTTACCTTTCTCCAACCCCTTCAGCCACTTGCCTTTCTCCAGCGCCGGGCTCCCTCTGCCGACGTCAGCTCCGAATGCGCAGCAAGAGCCGTGTGCGCATTCAAACCACCCATAGGAAAGCATTACTCAATGCTTTCCTATGGACGTCCAGCATCTTCTTACTGTGATTTTCACAGTGAGAATCGCGGAAGCGCCTCTAGTGGCTGTCAGTGAGACAGCCACTAGAGGCTGGATTAACCCTCAGTGAAACAGCAGTTTCTCTAGAACTGCTATGTTTTCAGCTGCAGGCTTTAAACTAGAGGGACCTGGCACCTAGACCACTTCATTGAGCTGAAGTGGTCTGGGTGCCTATAGTGGTCCTTTAAAGTCATATTTGTTAGTCGAAATGTATATATATCAGTTTGCTTGTGTTAACCTTCCAGTGTGTGTTTTCTATGCCATTAGTGCAAGACCCTCAATCCCCAGAAGAGGCACCAGGAACTGCAGGAGATGCGGTCTCCACGGAGAGCAGGGCAGCAGGTTCACCTCCTGTCTCCCTGGAAATGCGCCTGGCTTCACTTTCCTCTCGTAAGTACTTGCATAGCATTGTTAGATAAATGTTATGTGTGTGTGTGCGCGTGCGCATTTAAACATACACACACGTATGTGATTTTACTGTATATGAAGTTAATTTATCACATACATGTATTTCAGACCATCCGCAACTTGTCGACGTTCCTTCACCACGTATGAGTGTGGTTTCCCTCCAACAGCCGGCCACTGGTGTCCAGGAACAGGGATCCACTGCTGAGCGTAAATAAAAAATACTTTAACTGTACACATTTTCTTTGCAGGCACACTAGTTTATGTAACAGGCAGGGCCGGGTCGACCGCTAAGCATACTAAGCGTCTGCCTAGTACGCACTGGCCAGGGGGCTAAATGTCTGGGTGACCAGCATGGGTGGGGGGAGCTCACATCGCTCCTCTCCTTCTGTTCACTTTATGTACTGTGGCTGAGTGGACCACGTGTGATCTTATCTACCATCTACTTGGCCTGACAGGAAGCTGAGTGCAACGATCAGCTTCCTGTCATGCAGAAGAAACAGGAGATTCTCTACCTGGGGACGCTCGTCCACAATACATGTAGTGAGATTAGAAGGAAATGGAGGTGGGCACAAAGACTTGCAAAGAGACAGAGAAAGGGCTAGGGGGGACAAAGATGCATAACTATACTTAGACATAATAAATTAATAGCATGACTGCATATATCTTATTTCCAAGTTTAAATAATATTGTTGTACAGATAATAGTAAGCATTGCAACATATGACACATGCTAACAATGTTCTTTCTCTGTTCTCCCCTATAGGTTCTGATGGTACTCTCCCCCTGCAAGAGGAGGGTACCATTACCCTAACAGCAGTGGATCCTGATTCAGAGACATCAGTGGCCGAAGAAATGTAGTTGCCACAACTTCCTCCACCATTGGCTGCGCTGTATGCGACGATCCAGGCTCGTCAAGCTGAACTGGAGACGTCCATACAGCAGGATAGGGAGAATCAGCAAGAACTATTGCAGAATGTAATAACCGAGGTACGCTCCATGTCGAACATTTTGAATGAGGGCGTTAGGCAATTTACATCAGCAATGGTTTCCTTGCAGCAAAATATGCAGCGCTTTATGGAAATGAGGGAGGAAGAGTGCATTCTAATGCGCGCGCAAGCTGCCCATAATTTGGGCATAACCATTGCTGATGTAGATAGCCTAGTTCGTGAAAGACGTACGCCGGGCCTTCCCAGAAGGGATGATGATGATGATGAATAGATATCTGTGGGAAGAATGCACTCAGATGTTTATTTCTCATTATCATCCACAATGTGAACACAACTGACGCTGTTCATCGTAGGTTGTTACATTCTCAATTTCCTCCTGGTTTTCCCTATCCTTCCCCTGAATATACATTGGTTCATTCTCCTCTGCACTATATCCTCCCAGGACTGCTCCTAACAACCTGGGCTGCCTCTGCTTTGTTGCTTCTCCCACTTGCTTTTCTAATTAAAAAAATATTGGATTACAACTTCTGACTCCTCTTTTCTTTAATAATTTATATATATATATATATATATATATATATATATATATATATATATATATATATATATATATATATATATATATATATATATACACAAAAAATAAGAGATGCACTCTAAGGACTTATATAATCGATAGTAAAGTATTTATTAAAAAGAAAGTTTACATAATAAGATCTTATTATGTAAACCTTCTTTTTAATAAATACTTTACTATCGATTATATAAGTCCTTAGAGTGCATCTCTTATTTTTTGTATATATTCCATAACGTGGGATTGCACCAAGGCACTAAGAAATTCATTTTGAATTGGAGAAAGGGTGAGTGCCAAGCTTTCTGTTTGTTACATATATATATATATATATATATATATATATATATATATATATATATATATATATATATATATATATATATATAAAAAAAAATAATTCTATGTATATATTTATGTAATAGTTTTACAAAATTAGGTCATTTTATTAATTACAATTTGCAGGACCTGACTGATGTCAGGATCTTACCTGATGGGGAGTCTGGCTCGCAGAGTTATACGCTCACCCTTGCAAAGTAGACACAGACCAGGGTGACCAGGTAAGACGCCACCTGATCTGTGAGTCTGTGCACGGGGGCTTTCCAGGAATAGTGCTCCAAGTAGCAGTACAGCAGGGATTAGCAGAAGCGTAGTCAAGGAAAGCCAAAGTCAGGGGAATCCAGAGATCAGAGTAGTCCAGGAGGAAAGCCAAGGTCAGAAGCCGGAATCAGACAGGAAATACTGGAACGCAGATATAGCAAGACAGGAACCAAACAAGGGAACCAGAGTCAATGAACTGACACTGCCCTCAGGGAGAGGCAGTGTCTTATACCTGGCTAATGGGTGATCAGCCACAGGTGTTCTGAGATCGTTGGAGCAGCCACAGAATAACGTCCAGCCCCCAGTGCTGGGTACAAGGCAAGATAGACTTCTGGCTATCTCTCAAGCTATTATGGTGGCTCAGAGGCACCGGTCACTTCTGGGGCGACCTCGTCTGGCTTTCGGGATTTCGCGGTTGTTAGGCAACTTTTGGTCACTCCTCCATATCCCCCATCCCATGTGTATCACCCCTATTATCCCCCTATCCCTGTGTGTCACCCCCCTTAACCGTGCATCTCCCTTATTTAACACCACATTCGCCTACCCTCCCTTCAAGAACGCCCTCCGGGCGTGAACAGGTTCTTCATGGAAATAGTACTCATCTTCGGTCTCAGGATCACTAAGATAGTCTTTGTAATCACAGTCTCCAGAGCGGAGTCCCTTTACAGCCTGGGACTTTATGGTACCTGTTTCGGGTACTAATGCAAAGAGGTCAAGGTTATTCATGGATTTGGTGGAGGTGGTAAGTACCTTGATCCCAGGAGTCATTTTCTCTGAACTTTTTTTCTTAGGTGAGTCACCAGGAGCAGAGTTCACGGCTTTCAAAGCCCTTTCAAACTGTGACGAGACCAATCTCGCCACATTGCATTGGAGAAGCCTGGTTGCTCGCCTGCTGCCTCTGGACTATGGCCCCCTTTTAAAAGACTTTATTTCGCCTGGAGAAAAGCTGTATTCGTGCTTTTCTGCCAGTTGTTCGGTAGATGCACGAATGAATAGACCACTGCTTAACCCTCAACACAGAGCCTTGTCTCGTCTTTGGGGGGGATTTACTGTATGCTGCTAAGGACTGATTGCCAGGAGTGTAAGCCGCTTGGGAGCTTTTCTTGTTCGTCTGGTAGCAGCAATTCGTATGGTCCCTGTTCGTGTATTTGGAGTTCTACCTTATTCACTTGTATGCCGTTCGGGAGTTTGGAGCATTCACTTGTATTCAGTTCATGAGTTTTGGTGATTCTACAGTAGCTGTGCCTGTCTCTGAAAGGGGATTATCGTCTAAGCGTTTTTTTTCCCTTTTGTGCAAAACGGTCCGTTACAATTGGTGGCAAGCGGCGGGATCGTTCCCACAGACTACAGGACAGCTACAGGCAACACCATTCCGTGGATTTACAATTTGAGGGCAATGCATGTCTGAGTACAGCGACCCTGACAGCAACAGAATGGAACCAGCAGTGTCATACGAGGAGGAGGACCTGGATGGCCGGGATGCATTAAGGAAAGGCATCTGGTACCAGGCCCTGGATAATGTACAATACCAGTGGGGCGAGAGTCTCCCCAGTGAAGAGCAGCGGTTGCAGAAGCAAGTGGCCCTGCGGATGCCCTTCCTGGGAGAGCAGCCCCTGGATGAATGGGTGAAGGAATTGGAGCACCGGGTATGGCAGGAGATTTGGCTGGAAGATGCCTACCAGGCGCTCTGGTGGTATGGGGCACAGTACCTGCCCTGGACAGCCGAACATGACAAGCCAGAGGGAGAGGAGTTTGATGGTCCTGGCTTGTTATGGGAGGCTTTTTCAGAGCCTGAGTTTGGGAGCCCTACACAAGCCCGGTTCAGTGATCTCTTGGAGTGGAGGGAGAGCAGGTATGACTGGGACGACACTCACGACATTGAGCAAGACCTGGCTCACCTAGCAACCCTGGAGTGGGAACTGGAGCAGGACTACTGAGATCTCTTCCACTCCATTGAGAAGATTCAGCAGGACAGCAAGGTGACAGATCCAGTTCCAGACCCATTCAGCTGGGAAGACATTGTTGATATTTTCTGGGAAGAACCCCAGGTGGTCGGTAGAGATGGGACCGAGGTCTCTCAACCGGTCCTGCAGGGAATTGGGAGCCCAGTCTCCATTCCCCAGCGGCCGTGTGATTTATTGGGAATTGGGAGCCCAGTCTCCATTCCCCAGCGGCAGTGTGATATGCCGGGAATTGGGAGCCCAGTCTCGATTCGCCAGCGGCAGTGTAAAGTGCAGGGAGAGGAGAGCAGCGTCCTCCCTCCCCAGCGGCAGGCTGAGTTACAGGGGGCAGAGGTAGTTGTTCCTGCCCCCCAGCAGCAGAGTGATATGCCGGGAAGGCGGTGTGAAGTCCAGGGAGAGGAGAGCAGTGTCCTCCCTCCCCAGCGGCAGCGTGATTTTCTGGGAATTGGGAGCCCAGTCTCCATTCCCCAGCGGCAGTGTTATTTGTTGGGAATTGGGAGCCCAGTCTCCAGTCCCCAGCGGCAGAGTCTCCAGTCCCCAGCGGCAGAGTATCCAGCAAGGACTCTGCATTGGGAGCGGAGACAGTCGGTCTCCCTCCACAGTGGATGAAAGTATGTATAGAAGAGGAGCTTGCTACCACCTCTCCCCAGCAGCGGATCATTAATGGGCAGGGAATAGAGAGCTCAGTCTCCTTTCCCCAGCATCAGAGTGTTCTATCGGGAGAGGAGCCTGTTACCCCCTCTCCCCAGCGACAGCCTAGAGTATCCAAAGGGGAGACAGTCGGTCTCCCCCTCCAGCAGCAGAGCTGTGTAACCAAAGGGGAGACAGTCGGTCTCCAGCAGCAGAGCTGTGTAACCAAAGGGGAGACAGTCGGTCTCCAGCAGCAGGACTGTGTATCTAAAGGGGAGACAGTCGGTCTCCCTCTCCAACAACCAGGCTTCAACCAGGCTACCCTCCCAGTAGCGCTGGCAACAGGGCAGAGTGACGCTGGTCTCTGCCCCACACAGTCAACGTACCATACCCAGCACAGCCGTGGTGAGGCACCTGGACATGGACAAGCTTCTCCTCTACCCAGGTGTAGTAACCCTTTACTGTTGATTGTGTTTTGTGGGTGGGCTGCTGGACTAACAAGGGCACTGACCGGCAGGAGGTCAGATACCCTGTTAGTCTGTTTGGAGGGGAGAGATGTGACGAGACCAATCTCGCCACATTGCATTGGAGAAGCCTGGTTGCTCGCCTGCTGCCTCTGGACTATGGCCCCCTTTTAAAAGACTTTATTTCGCCTGGAGAAAAGCTGTATTCGTGCTTTTCTGCCAGTTGTTCGGTAGATGCACGAATGAATAGACCACTGCTTAACCCTCAACACAGAGACTTGTCTCGTCTTTGGGGGGGGGGGGGATTTACTGTATGCTGCTAAGGACTGATTGCCAGGAGTGTAAGCCGCTTGGGAGCTTTTCTTGTTCGTCTGGTAGCAGCAATTCATATGGTCCCTGTTCGTGTATTTGGAGTGCTACCTTATTCCCTTGTATGCCGTTCGGGAGTTTGGAGTATTCACTTGTATGCAGTTCGGGAGTTTTGGTGATTCTACAGTAGCTGTGCCTGTCTCTGAAAGGGGATTATCGTCTAAGCGTTTTTTTCCCCTTTTGTGCAAAACGGTCCGTTACACAAACGTTTCCAGATATATTCTGTGGACCTTGGTACCATAGGTGCAATCCACAGGTAGTTCTCCTTTGGGCAGACAGGAAGTGGTGATGGAACCAGTTTTAACAGGAGAGTCTTCTGGAGGTGGTGAATTCTCATGGTCACCGATTATGTGTTCTTGAGAGACACTGGCATCAGTAGCCATCGTAGTCTGGGTACTCTTCTGCGTCACAGAACGTGGAAAAATCCGACAGTACCCTTGCCATTTTTCTGGCTGTGTTGCCGGGATAACAGGATTAGTGATGTTGCGAACACAAAATTTTCGGTTCGCGAACGGCGAACGCGAACTTCCGCAAATGTTCGCGAACCGGCGAACCGGGCGAACCGCCATAGACTTCAATGGGCAGGTGAATTTTAAAACACACAGGGACTCTTTCTGGCCACAATAGTGATGGAAAAGTTGTTTCAAGGGGACTAACACCTGGACTATGGCATGCCGGAGGGGGATCCATGGCAAAACTCCCTTGGAAAATTACACAGTTGATGCAGAGTCTGGTTTTAATCCATAAAGGGCAGAAATCACCTAACATTCCTAAATTACAATGAATATGGATTGACACCTGACATATGACATATTGACACCTTGACATATGGATTGACACCTGTCCTCAGAGCCCCTGATGCACACGGACACAGAGCAGAATAGAGACTGTTCCCCCTACATAGGGTCACTTGGCAGATATGGATTGACACTGTCCACAAGGACAAGCTGCAGGCTTCCTGGCAGGGCCCATACAAGGTGGTAGAGCAGGTTTGTGATACCACCTTTGTGATCGGTGCGGTCACAGGCACGGGAGGCAAGCGCATGCTCCATGTGAACATGCTCAAGTCATACCACGAGCGCACGGAAGAGGTAACCGCGATCTGTGCACCTGCCACTGAAGATTATGATAATTTGCCACTCCCAGATCTCCTAGACCTAGAGGGCCAGAGCGGAGACCTGGGAGAAGTACAGTTAGGAGAACGGTTAGACCCCCAGGAGCGAACCCAGGTCCAAAGACTAATCCAGGACAAGGGGGCCACGTTTTCCAACCTACCTGGCTACAGTCCGTTAACCACTCACAAAGTTGAAACCCTAGACCCCCTTCGCCAAACCGCCTATCGCATACCTGAAGCAGTTAAAGAAAATATTCAGAAAGAAATTGAGGAAATGATGCAGTTATGGGTGATAGAACACTCTGACAGCCCCTGGGCCTCCCCGGTAGTACTAGTACTGAAACGGGACGGCACGACCCGTTTCTGTGTAGACTACCGGAGGTTAAACGATAAAACAACCTCAGACGCCTCGTCTATGCCCCGTATAGACGAGCTCCTAGACAAAATGGCCAGAGGCCAGTACCTCACCACAATAGATCTGTGCAAGGGGTACTGGCAAATTCCATTAGCCGAGGACGCCATCCACAAGTCGGCATTTGTCACCTCGTTTGGCCTGTATCAGTTTAAGGCCATGCCATTCAGGATGAAGAATGCCCCGGCTAACTTTCAGATGATGGTAGATCGGCTACTGGATGGGTTTCAGGAGTATGCCTGCGCCTACTTGGATGATATAGCCATTTTTAGCTGCTTCTGGCCCTA